TATCTTGTTATCATTAAACTATTTTTGTCTGTATTTTGTACATGTTGTCTTTCAATGCATTTTGTATCTACAGGGTGTAAAATCGTGAACGCGTACATAGTCTTATAGAACAGACAAAACTTTCCGATGTGAAACATTTAAGCAGAGATGTGTCTCAGGTTCACACAGGTTAAAAGATACCCCCATTCTCGTTTGTCTCGCCACCTCCTTTCTGACAGTGAAATACGGGCCGTGTTTAAAGTTTCAAGGGCAGGAAATCTCCTCCCTATTAAAAAAAAGGCCTAAACACTCACGTCAGAGCCAGTGGATCGTATAGGCAATGTCTGGGGTGGGTTGAGGGTGTCAGTTTTTGTGGGTTAACCCAATCTCACTGAACATTCAGACAGTTGTTGTGTTGGTGCTTTGAGTTATAGACTCATGTTAAGTAGACTGATGTACATTTGTAGGCACTGCACATGGGATTCTGTCAGGAAGGTGGAAAACTACAGGAAAAAATGAGAATGGCACTCAGTAGAGCACATACCTCCACCAAGGCCTGTGTGTGTGACAGTGTATGTAGAAATGTTTTTTTTAAATGTTAAGATAGATGCAACGGTGGTGAGATATATCTGAATCTCATCTGTCCAAATAACCAAACGCCCATGAAAACATCACCTCCTTGGCAGCGGTGATCATGACACACACACAATTCTGCACACTGCCCCCACCGCTGTGAGCGAATCATCTGAGTGTGTAGTGATGCTAAGTGACCACTAGATGGAGACATCTCATTGATTTTTAATTGGGATGCGTTCAAGTCAAGTCTATTTAAAAGCAGCTACTACAGTTGTGTTGATAAGGCACAATGTGAAATACAATAAATTAATATAATAACAGATTAGCATAAAATAAATTTAATAAATGCTAAGATATGGATAAAAACAACTTCAGGACACTCAAAACCCAGAAGAAAATGAGAATCAAATATTATGATTTTGAATAGTTAGGTTCAGAATGAAGCTTTACAATTAGAGTTAGGTGCAGTATCAGTTGTCTTATATCTTCATTTGACATGAGAATCTAAAGTGTCTTAACTCCCTTTTGTATGCATTGCTTCTCATTGATTACAGGAATCATGCAAGAACAGTGCATCTCTGAACAAGCTGATAAGGAATTAGAATGGCATTCATTTGAGCATATACCTCCACCAAGGTCCAATAGTCCCTTTTAATTCAATCAAGCTGCATCAAATTTCCTACAATCATAGATATCAGTCCACTTATTGTGACTGATTTGTTTCATCACGATCCATGAATTACTTCCTGGTAAATCATTAACAATGTAGATAAAAAAACACCCTCTCTGATCAGAGTCTGAAGAAAAATCCAATGAGTTCTTTCTCAAGCCATACTGTAAGTTTTCTGGTAAGCCATCCAGTAGTTTTTGCTCAATCTTGCTTACTGACAAAGAAATTACCCAACAAACAAGCAACAAAGGGGTTAAGGGGCTTTACAGGCTTTTAAGAGGCGCATGTGGTTGTGGGGGGAGTAAAATACCCTCATGGTGTGACCAGTGTTATCTCAGTTCTGGTTTGAGTCTTCAACTTGTGCTGCAAACTGGGGGTGTGTGCTGTCAGAGAGGTGGGTATTTAGATAACAGGGAGGGTTTACTGAAAGGCACTGTCAAGTTGCATTGTGGGAAATCCAGCATTTCAGTTCGTTAGGATATCTCGTACTTTGCTGCTTTAGTTTTAACGGTTATGTCTCTTGGGACTTCCTTATATATTTACCCCTGCCGAGGACATCTTGCTTGTTTGTTTGTTAGCAGGATTATGCAAAAACAAAACAACCAATTTTATTTAAACTTGGTGGAAGGATAGAGTAGGGGCCTTGGAAGAGCTCATTACAGTTTCATATCTTATATTTTCACTAACATGAATAATTCATGGTTCTTGATTAAAAAAAATAAAGGAAGCATATTAAGTGGACTGATATCTATAGGTTTGTGGCATTTGGTGCAGCTTGATTGAATTTAATGGGACTGTTGGGCCTTGGTGGAGGTATCATTCTAGTTACTGAAAAGCAATACTAAATTGCCGGCAGGTCAGTCTTTAACCTGATGCCATATATACTGTCTAAAAACTACATAACAAGTTTGCTTGTTTAGACAGATGAGACTCATTTTAATTGCTGTAATAAATCAACCTTTGCAGTGTAGAGTGACCAAATATTTTGAAATGAATATACTGGTTACATATGTTTTCTCTATGCACAGATGAAAAGGGCAGTGTGAGCTACATGTAATACCTAAACACATGCTGATACTGTGACCTCGCTATCATCACGCTTCAGTCAGGAGCAAGGCCTCAGAGCCTGGGGTGATGCATTCTCTGAGACCGCAGAGTGTTGGGGGAAATTATGCTGCGTCACACTCATCCTGTTGCAACAATACATGGAGTCTGAGAATGGCTGACCTCCTGGGCAAACAATAGGTGCCACTGGCCGAACCAGAAATCTCCCAGCTTGTGCGGTTGGTATGGCAACGCAGCTCTATCAATACAGAGGCAGCGGAGCTCACATCTGAGAGGAGGCTGAGCAGCACAGAGACACTACACCTGTGAGAAGAGAAACCTGAGACTGTCAGCCCTGGGTGCTTTGTGAACGTGTCCTGTGCTCCAGTGAGAACTAATGAATTAATGACTGGGTGCCTGAGTTCCATTGATGAATCATTAAAGCAGGGGTTGATGGGTGCACCCCACTTCTGTCTCCTGTTGGTCTCAGAGTGATGGATGAAGCTTAAAATGGTTGAAAAACTTCCTTTTGATTAACAATTTAATTCATACTGCCCTGAATAAAAATAAAATAAAGATGAGTGGAACCTCTGCAGCACAGCTCAGTTTCACTGGGGAATATAGTGTGCGTTGCACCCAGGGAGGAAAATGCTGACACAACTCACTGTGCTTGAATGACTGCCAGCCTCAAAAGGGCTGTAGTAGACAGAAGCATACACGAGACGGGGGTTCAAACATGCCTGTGCCAAATTTGCCTCACTCAGATGATGAATACTGACTTGACAATATCAAACCAGTAACACCTGGACCAGCAGTGTTCTATAAAAAAAGAAACCAGAAGCTCAAGTCAAACAGTGTTGTGCTGTTAAACCACCCCAACAGGCCCTGCAGCACATGGGAGCGGGTGGGGTGATGTGTGTGCAGTTACTACTACAGGATACAAACAAAGGTTGGGTCTGCCTTGAGGAAGTGGAACTGTGTTAACAAGAACAACTCAACAAGAGGCCACAAGTGATACTTGAAAAAGACTGAGGGAGAAAGTCACTAAGTGAACTTGCATTATCAGATACTTTTGCTTTTTGTCGTATATTCTAAAACCAGTACAGTTAAATTTTTTGGATGTTGGACTGTACTTGCTCTGGAACAAAAAAACCGAAAATAGACCATTTTAGTTTGCCTTTCTGTGACGAAATGACCTGATGGTCACATCAGCATTGCAGAACTGCACAAGAATGTGTTACCTCTGACAGGGAGGTTATTTTCACCCCTGTCCCATTGTTTGCTGGTTTGTTTGTTTGTAAGCGATATTACACAAAAACTACTGGATGGATTACCACAGAATCAATAATGGCATATTTGAAGGACTAATTCCAGATCTACTGAATTTGTGGATTCATAAGGGGACTGTTACGCCTTGGCAGAGGTATTTGTTCTGAGTGACATCCTTGTATAGTGACCACAAGCAGAGTGCATGGTTTATATGTTACTTTTGTTTGAGCTGCTTCAGCACAAGTAATCTTACCCGCACTTGTGTAAATGTATACTGCCGGCCCAGCAGGAGTACTTCATCTGAACAGGATACTCTTTCCCCTCTTGCTGAATGATCATTACAGTTTTAATGAGTCAGCTTCAGCTAAGAGAAATGCACACCTATGTGAGGCTCTTGCCTGCAACTATAGCCATCTGATGAGAGAGACAACATTTCCATATGAATTTTGTTATCTGTAGTTTATTCAGTGAAGATGCGATATGATGGTGTGATTACTGCACAGCACAGATCTGACTAAAGTAAAATTAAATCAAGCTCCCAAGGTCGAGCGCCTAAAATAGCAGCAGCTTATTTTAATGAGATTGCTATGTGGTATTATTTTTGAGGGGTTGTGTTGCATCTATCTATCTATCTATCTATCTATCTATCTATCT